AGACATAAACTCTCCTAAGCTTTATCATAAACAATTTTCTACAGTTTGTTCAAATCCAAGGTCCATAGATAGTAACCTGTTGATATTTAAGTTTCTTTTAATCTATAGATTCCCTCTACTTCCGTAAGAAATCAGGTAGTTAGAATTTTCCACATTTGGGATTATGCTAAATCTATCTTATCTCCATGATGTCACTTTTGTCCTCTCTGTACTTCCTGTATATTGGCAGTTAGATCTAGAGGCTTGGTCAGATTCAGATTTGATATTCTGGCAAGAACATTTCCCTGATAGTGCTGTACAGCTCCACCAAAAGGCACTAATGTCTGCTGCTCTTTTTGTGATATTAGCAGTCATTGATGAGCACTGCTTGGAGTCATTAACTTTCACAGATTGCAAAATGATAGTTTTAGAATTCTATCATTCCTCCTTTACTTACTACCTGGAATGCTTTTTATAAAGGACTGTCAGTAATTTTGATATTTACTTTTGATATTTATCATCTATGGGCTTCCCAATACACTAACTTGTTTAAAAACAGTAGGAAGGGTTTAATAGAATTATGTCTATGAAAGACATAATTAAAGACATAAAAGGGAACCAGAGGATCAAGCAAGCAAAATTTGTAAGATGAGGGGATGACAATAAAGGGAGGAGAAATTATATAGAAATCACATCACTACCCATAAAAAAGGAATCTCTATACCACCTCACGCCAGTCAGAGTGGCTAAAATGAGCAAATCAGAGAACTCTAGATGCTGGCGAGGATGTGGAGAAACAGGCACCCTCCTACACTGTTGGTGGGAATGTAAACTGGTACAGCCCCTCTGGAAAACAGTGTGGAGGTTCCTCAGGAAACTAACAATAGAACTACCCTATGACCCAGCAATAGCACTGCTAGGAATTTACCCAAGGGATACAGGAGTGCTGAGGCATAGGAGCACATGTACCCCAATGTTCATAGCAGCACTCTCCACAATAGCTAAAACATGGAAAGAGCCTAAGTGTCCATCAACAGATGAATGGATCAAGAAGATGTGGTTTATCTATACCATGGAATACTACATGGCAATGAGAAACAATGAAATCTGGCCATGTGTAGCAACATGGATGGACCTTGAGGGGGTTATGCTGAGCGAAATAAGTCAGGCAGAGAAGGACAAATATCATATGTTTGCACGTATAGGAGGATTAGGAGGAACTTAACTGAGGAACAAGGGGGAGAAGAAGGGGGGAAATGGTGGGGGAAAGGGATAGAGGCAAACCATGAGAGACTCTTGAATGCTGACAAAAACTGAGGACGGGGGGGGGGGGGGGGGGGGGGGATGGGCATGGAGGAGGACACTTGTGGGGATGAGCACTGAGTGTTATGTGGAAACTAATTTGACAATAAACTATTTGTAAATAAATAAATAAATAAATAAATTCCAGTTTGTTAACATAAAAAAAAAAAAAAAAGGAATCTCTATCTCCAAAGACCAGCCTTCAGAATTTCTACTCTCCAATTTGAGAGATGATGACTTAAAGATTTGCCTGCAAAAACTGCAAATAAGTCTGTTAGCAAAAGTGACCCAGAAGTACCTCTATGGAAAAGTCTAACTGGCTGATCACCAGACATTCTGACAAGGGTATTACTTTGGTCAATTTCCACAATCCAGTATATGTTTTGTAGACCTGCAAATTCAGATACCTAGTTTTATTTAAATTTAACTTGAACTCCAATGACTGAGCACAGAGACTGACATATTTAAATTTCTAAATTTATGAAAAAAAATTACAAAAGTGGTAAAAATTCCTATAATTTTTTTTGCAACCAATATATTTTCTTATGCAAATATTCATTCACAAAAGTAGGGAGAAGAGTGAAAGCATTAATAATGAATACCCTTAACTCCCCTCACTTATCACTTGGCTTCAACAATTATCACCATTTCCTATCTGCAATTAATATACTTTTTTATACCTGTTAACATACTTTTTAGTCTATTTGATTAATACATTTTTTTACCTGTTGGTAAGCTATTTGGAAAGCCATGTTATCAGAAGATACTATGATTGAGTACAAGGATACAACACAGAGACTGAAATAGTCTTAAGAATCTCTCAGCTAAGATAGTAGCTTTGCCAAGGAAACAGTAATACTTCTAGAACAAAATCTCCTTCCCCCTTGCTTGTACTTAAATGGACACTACCTACCCATCTTTGCCTCTTGGCGATCCTTTCTTATTGTTCTAAAATTCCCCTTCTAGTGTAGTGTTTTTCATGTGTAGTAGAATAACATTATCTGTATTACACTTACAACTTGGTTCTACCTCTCTAAGATTGCACGTACTCATCTTAAATCTTAAACAATGTCCCCATATACTAGCCAGATTTACATACTCTGTTTTGATTTATTCTGTAAGAACTTTACTCAGAAAGCAACTTTAATTCCCTCATCTCCAAAGTAATGGAGGAAGGAGTATGTCTCATCCCTTTGTTACTCTCATAAAACTACAAAATACCAGCAAAATAGATCTACAATCCTAACCTGGCATGTTCTGAGCAGAGGGCTTAGGGCAATGCTATGCCGTTTATTAATTTTTATGCAAGCACTGTTTTAGGAACTTCACAAGGTCTCATTCCTGTCCATTTTAAGCTTATTTCCCTGGGTTTCTTTGGCAGCTAAGAAATCCTTATGGACACAAAGTCTCATCTACTTGAAAAAATACAAACTTTCAAAACATGTCACTGAAACTTGAAAAGATCATTTTTTAATGAGTGGGAACAACTTCAATTTTCTTTCTAATAATATTTTATAAAGCAAGGGACACTCAAATATCTTTAATTTCAGATTAAAACAGAGAATATCTGAGTTTTAAATGTATTCAGAAGTACTTACACGAAAGTATAATTTATTAAATAGTGAGTGGCTAAGAGTACAAACTTTGGAGTCAGAATACTTTGTCCAAATCTCAGTTATGTGACGTCAGGCAAACTGATCAATTTCTCTGTGCTTGTATCCTTACCTATTAAAAGGTAATAACAGAACCTAACTGATTTAATCCTTACACCAACTCTAAGGAGGTTATGCAAGTAAAGCACTTAGAATAGACCCTAGTACACAGTAAACACTATGCAGATATTGTTTATATAAGATTTATATTTAACTGTTAGCACTTAAATATATAAATAACTATAAATAAATGTACTTACCTATATAACTACATAAATAGGATTTGGTATTTTACAATGTTGTTTTAAAAGGCTCAAGGATCCTCCTAAAGGATCCCCTGTGGACTAAGTAATCTGGTATGAATTTGAGGTAAAGAGGAAACCCTCAAGATTTGTTAAATCAGGATACATGGCCATGCCTAAGGTTGAGGGATGCAAAAAAAAAAAAAAAAAATCCAAATGTTTTTTCTTCAGTTTTTGAGTGAAGCATTTCAGTTTGAAAGAATAAGAAAAAGGAAATAAAAAGGAATTATTAACGAAAGTGGAATTCATTCCGTTGCTCTCTATTTTTTTATTCAGAGAGGCATAAAAGTAATCCTGATGCTCTCAAGATTCAGCAGTTTGGGACAGTTCTTCATTTATTTATTTATTTTTTATTTTAGAGAGAAAGAGGGAGTAAGTGCGCGTGCAAGCTGGGTGAGATCATGACCTGAGTGGAAATCAAGTTGGACGCTTAACCAACTGAGCCACCCAGGTGCCCTGACAGCTCTTTTTTTCTTTTTTTTTTCTTTTTTAAGTTTATGTTTATTTATTTGGCAGGAGGGTAGGGGCAGAGTGAGAGGGAACAGATAGAATCCCAAGCAGGCTCTATGTTCAGCACAGAGCCTGACGTGGGATTTGATCTCAGATGCTTAAGCAACTGAGCCACCCAAGTGCCCCAACACTCTTTAACAGGAAAAAAAAAAGTCCAGCATTTGAAAATTTTTAACCACATCTGAAGAACTGAAATTAAGATAGATAGGCAAAAATTAAATTATTTATTCACAGGGCTGAAAACAAGCATTATGAAATAATGTTCATAAACTGGAAAATAACTGTTCAGAGGCAGCTCTACTAACACCTGAATGCTGTTTCTGGTTCCATAAACATAAGCATTATTTAACGTCTATTTATTTGTTAAGAGAGAGAGAGGGAGGGAGGGAGGGAGGAAGGGTGGTAGGCAGAGAGACCGTGCATGAGCAGGGGAAGGACAGAGAGAGATGGAGACACAGAATCTGAAGCAGGTTCCAGGCTCCAAGCTGTGAGCACAGAGCCCAACATGGGTCTCAAACTCATGAACCATAATCATGACCTGAGCTGAAGTCAGACACTTAACCAATTGAGCCACTCAGGCACCCCTTTAAAGATAAGCATTATTAATGGATTACTAAAGGTAGGAGATAAAAGGTAGGTGCCAAAATTAGCAAACTAGACAACCAACTCAAGTAAAACAGTAATCTAGTTTTAAATATGTATGAAGTGCTTTTGTTGAAAAACCCCCAACCATTAATTTCATTTACTATATGAATCTTAAATTCAGCATGAAAATTACCACATGAAAAGATCTATTATCTTTTCTTAATGTCTATTTTTAAAAAATGTTTTATTTATTTCAGAGAGAGAGACAGCATGAGCAGGGGAGGGTCAGAGAGAGGGAGACACAGAATCTGAAACAGGCTCCAGGCTCTGAGATAGCTGTCAAGCACAGAGCCCGACCCGGGGCTCGAACCCACGAACCGTGAGATCATAACCTGAGCCGAAGTTGGACGCTCAACCGACTGAGCCACAAAGGTGCCCCTCTTAATGTCCATTTTTATATGTTGAATCATTTAGGGGAATATTATTCTACCAATTTTACAATCATAAAAAAGTTTTGCACACATTAAGACTCTGACATTGAGGGAACTGGTGAAATGAAATTGAACTAGATTGCCTCTATGGTTCTCTGTATCACATTCCAAACAATGGAATACTGGTGTGAAAACAAAGGATGCAGAAATTCTAGAAGTACTACTGTGGAGGACTGGTGACGACAGCAGCAATCACTACAATGAGGAGAGCATGAGCTATACCCACAGTCATAGCACTTGTAGCTTGCTTCATTTATGAAAATGAATGCATTCATCCTCTAACAACTCTTGGAGGCAGGTACTATTTGTACTCTCCCATGTATAGCCAGAGAAAGCAAAGCCAAGTTGGTGGAATAACTTGTCCAAGTTATGGCAGAGGTGGGATTTGAACCAAGGCAATTTTGTTCCAGAGTCCATACTCTTTTTTTTTTTTTTAATTTTTTTTTTAAATTTTTATTTATTTCTAGGAGAGAGAGAGATAGACAGCGTGAACAGGGGAGGGTCAGAGAGAGAGGGAGACACAGACTCTGAAACAGGCTCCAGGCTCTGAGCTGGCAGTCAGCACAGAGCCCGATGAGGGGCTCTAACCCACGATCTGCGAGATCATGACCTAAGCGAAAGTCGGACGCCCAACCGACGAAGCCACCCAGGCGCCCCTCCAGAGTCCATCCTCTTAACCACTAGTAGGGGTCTACAAATATTTACTCAAGTTCCACTAAACTGCTAGGTGAGAAAAGCAAGGTGCAGAGCAGGATACAGTATTTGCCCATTCATGTAAAGAAGGGGAAAGAAGGATATATATATATTTGACTGTATTTCATAGAATATTTCCAGAAGCTCAAAATAGTGACTGCCTCAAAAGTGGGAAAATGATTAGGTGAGGGACTGGGGCAAGATACAGATTTCTACCTTTTGAACTGTGAAGCATGTTATTAATTACTGATTCAAAAAATAAATCAAGTAAAATTCTATTATCTACAAGGTTAAAGTTAAAACTAGCTACTATCAACACTAACAAGCTACTAACATCTGGCAGAAGTTTCAGAATATAGAACACACATCATCACTAAGGAACTGAAAGGTCAAGAAATGAATGGGGAATGACTGAATCATGCTGTAATTTGAAAATAAAACTAAGCTGGAACCACTAATATCAGTTTTCAAGAAAAACTACAATAGACAAATACTAACTGGAAATTATGTGAAAAAGGAAAGCAAATTGAAACTTTTCAAATGACAGAATTACATTACTGATAATTATTCTTTCTTACTGACAAGATTAGAAAGAATATGCCTCAAATCCTAAAGGTAAATAAAGCTTTCCCTGCATTTCCATGCAGTTACCATCAATCCCACAAGGGGATGCCACAGCTCTACAAATGACAAAGGAGCCTAAGAGTTTAACTTCTAACTTAAAAAGAAATGGCATTCACATATTTCTATTTCCTTACATCTGTGGAAGTATAAATGAATTGGCAGATGTCTCTATTTCATACTGTATAAATTTTAGCACTTACACTTTTGGCAGGTAACTTTATTTTAAAGTACTATAGGCAAAAAAAAATCTATTGGAATAAAATTAATTTGTTTGTGTTCTTTACATCCTGCCAAGGTAGCTGGACAAAGTTTTGCCCAATGTGGAGAGCCTAAAATTCTGGCTGGGTGGCACATTTCAAGTTCACTTTGAGGGGTCGTGTGCAGCACAATTCATTTTTTATTTTGTACCAAGTGGCAGGCCATACAATTTTAAAGATTTGACAAACTAGATGCAGAAATTTTCATTTAAAAATATATGCTATTTTATGGAAGGTGAACGAAGATATAAGGCGTGGGGTGAGTGGTGTGACAGGCCTCAAATTCTGTTTATCAATTTTCAAAGTGAGTAAGTTTAATTCCCCACCCCCCACCCCCCCGCCCGCTGTGGATACATTTTAGAAATTATACAAAATGACACCAGAAAGACCCATAAATCTTAAATTTATATTTAAGCAAGAGGCAAAAATAAAGTAAAAATTTCAAGAATCTAAACACCCATCTCTAAGGGATAACTGCTTGAGGACAACAGAGTTCAAAGGGAAGAATGTCTGATGGTCAATAAGGAAAGGCAGGCTCTTTTATTTTTTTAATTTAAAAAAAAATTTTTTTACAAATAGTTTATTGTCAAGTTAGTTTCCACATAACACTCAGTGCTCATCCCCACAAGTGCCCTCCTCCATGCCCATCCCTCCTCCCCCCCACATCCATCAGTCCTCAGTTTTTGTCAGCATTCAAGAGTCTCTCATGGTTTGCTTCTCTCCCTTTCCCCCACCATTTCCCCCGTTCTTTTCCCCCTTGTTCCTCAGTTAAGTTCCTCCTAATCCTTCTATACGTGCAAACATATGATATTTGTCCTTCTCTGAGGCAGGCTCTTTTAAAGACAAATGAGATTGATGCTACTGGTAAGAAACACCTAAACACTGTTTCAACTCCTCTTCAAACACTGAACCTGAGTTCTAAACAGTGAGCTGTAGAGGTAAATGAGAAAGGCCTATTCTTTTATGCTCCGTAGAAACCCAAGTCTAGCATGAGCGTTGCTGGACAACATACTGGGAGAGGGCAGGAACAGGTGTGTTTGTAAATGCTGGAGACAGAAAAAATGATAGTTTCACATCTATTCTGCTAAGGAAGCTAACAGCAGTTTAATGTGTGAACATGAAGTTTCATCTATGATTAATTTGATGTCACTGTTACAGACATGAAAAGAAAAATAACACTGTAGCCATGGTTGAGCCACCAGACCACCTGAAAAAAGTATTCACTGAATCAGCTTAACATCTAGACCCTAGACATGGAGAAAATGGTATCAGGGCCATCTACAGTGCATTTCAGTGGGGGTGGTAAAGGGAAATCACTGGTCAGATCCCAAAAACAGCTGATTCCCTACCATAAACCCTTACTTTCAAACATCCAAAGTTCCCATGACCATTAATAAAGCTTCTGCACTGCAGATGCTGATCTGTGACCAAGCATCTTCTCACATGGGCAAATCTTAGGTTTTAAATGATTTCCATTTTCTCCTTAGAGTTAAGATTTAGTTTTTGAGCAGAACAATATTTCGAGACAATTCAGTCCTTGTATCTCAGTACCAGAAGTCAAGTCATAAAGCCATCAATGTAATTCTATTTCTGCAACAACAAATTAATAACCAAATCAACTGAAGTTAATGACTTCTCGCTTCTTCTATTGCAAATTTAAAAATATGCCTGTAGTAAATTTATTTGCATATACAGTATATTAAAGGTGATGACCTACTATGGAGTTCACTAGAATGTGTCTTCTTACCAGGCTTGATGAGAGGAATCATTTCTTAACACGTTCACAGGAACCTTAATCTCCCCTAGGAAAATATCTTGGACCAGGTTTCCATTGTTCCACAAGTCGATCCTGAAAATTTTAAACTGGTTTTATGTTTTGCAAACAATGTTTAAGAGAATGCACACCACCACCAGGTAGCTTCAAATTATTTTGGTTGTATTATAGCATTAATTTTACATGCTTTAAAAGAGATGTTAGCATTGTCATATACCTTACTATCTAAACTAAGAAAACAAAATATTCTAATAGCTTTTATTTGTAAGCAGAGAAAGTAACCACTTTAAATGGTCTAAAAGAAAGCACTGATGTTTCTTAGTTTCAAAGTCTAGGCTTTATTTCAACCTGTAGCAGTGGGAACTAGAGTTACTTTGTTGAATTTGAGAAAAGAAACCAATACAAGACTAGTTTCTTTCTCAACTGAACCAGTTATTATGTAAAGATATGTGATTTAGAAAAATACATTACCTGATCATTCCAAACATGTGACTAATGCACCCTTTAACACACTGTTAACACCACACCTATACATGCATTTATCAAACTTTCCCCTCCCAAACTGCATAGATACTTAAGACCTAAATAACACAAACTTCAAACACATGCACCTGTTGAATTATCTTACAAGACTTCTTACCTCACTGAAATTTCTGTTAGACAGCAGATATGTTAAGAAGAATAAAAAAATTATTTCTAAATTGGCTAATACATAATTACTTTTCTATATAGTCTTTGCATCCATTATGCTAGGATTCAGAATTTTAAAGAACATTTGTGAAAATTAAAAATATAATAAACTAGGTGAAAATTAGGTCATCTTTGGTTTTAAATAAATACATCTTGACTATTTCTGCAAAGCAATCAGATTTTGAAAAGATAATATGAAGTTAACTTAGACGCATGTTCCTCTAAGTTTCATCAACCAATTTGCTAAAGAGAATTCTATTCAGCTTGGTTCGCCTTTTTCAATTAAATTTAGGATTTTCTTTTGGCATAGAAAAAAGCAATTCTGTAAAACTCCAAGGCATATACCTAATTTCTAGCTTTTCAATGTCCTCCTCTTCTACCTGGAACTGGGACTTTCTTGTATAACTACTGGATCTGGTTACCTGCAAATAAAATATTTTAGTTTACAAAAAATTTTGGAATATTTTTTCCTACATGAACTTCAAAAACTATCATCCCTAAAATGTTCAATTTTGTTTATTATAAACAGAGGAAAATGCCTAGGTAATAGTTTACCCAAAAGCTAAAGACAAAAACCAGCTATGGAAGTAGAGGGAGGTGAGAATGAGGCAGTATAAAAATATCAAAAGCAATCTTTCCTTCAAGCCCTCCATTATCAACTCAGTATACAGCAACATTAGGTTCTCTGGTTCACATGCAATCTGCCGGTGACTCAAAGAGTAAAACTGTTCTATTTTGGTAAAGCTGCACATACCAAGAGCTGTTTGAAGACTTTCCCACATTTCTCAAAATACCAATTCTATCCTTACATTTCCTTCTCACATTTTTACTGAAAATATCAAGGTCACTGGCAGGGACTTCCTCAGCCACTGTCACCTGAACAGGTCTGTTATCATGGAGGTCTTTCTACTTGATGAGTTTTCTCATTTCTTCTGAACAAGAGATCAGATGATTCTCCTTTTCTCTAAGACTACTCCACCCACACACGATATACACTAAGCATTTGATCTATTTTAATTACAGCTTTCTTCACCAGCTTATTCACCTCACTCAAGTCTAAGAAAAATTCTCCACTTAAATTATGGTCTTCCTATCTCCTTCCTTTCACAGACCAGTATCTCAAAACTGTAATCCATCCGTACAGCCACCACTTCCTCACACCCACTCACTACAGTAACTCCTTCTAATCTGGCTTCTTCATAGCTCACTCTCTAAACCGCTCTCTTAATCACCAAGTCTGATGGTGAATTCATAGTTCTC